TGGGAGCCTAACCAGTTTGGATGTTCACCTTCCTAGACCTGGATGGAGGGGGGAGGACCTTGGATTTTCCACGGGGCAGGGAACCCTGACTGCTCTTCGGACTGGAGAGGGGGGAGGAGAAAAGTGGGGGGAGGGGGAAAGGGGCAGGAGGAAGGGGAGGGAAATGGGAGGCTGGGAGTAGGTGAAAATTTTTTTAATTTTTTTTCTTTTCAATAAAAAAAAAGAAATGTAAAAAAAAAAAACTTTTAAAACAGTCCATTGTCAAAAGTACCAAATGATGCTGACAGTCAAGAAAGGCAATGGCAAGACTGTTCACTGGCTGGCCCTGAAGACAATTTAGTGGGCCTTTGTAGAACTGACTCGGGTGAATGGTAATATGGTGTGGAAAGTCCTTCCGTACATGTGTTGCTTTCACTGGTTAATGAATAAAGAAGCTGCCTTGACTTGTGATAGGGCAGAGTAGAGCTAGACGGTGAAAACTAAACTGAATGCTGGGAGAAAGGAGGCAGAGTAGGTAGAAGCCGTGTAGCCCTGCCGGATGATGGAACCTTGCTGGTAAGCCACAGCCATGTGGCATTACATAAATTAATAGAAATGGGTTAATTTAAGACATAAGAGCTAGCCAATAAGAAGCTAGAGATAATAGGCCAAGCAGTGATTTAATTAATACTGTTTCTGTGTGATTATTTTGGTTCTGGGCAGCCAGGAATGAATAAGTGGCCTCTGCCTACAGTGGTGAGGGGATAAGGCCTTATTTTTCAGGGTGAATGTAAAGGAGAAATGTATGAACATAAGCTGCCTGCATGCACATTTGCCTAGGAGCACAAATGAGCTGGCTAGACATTTAGGAGAGCTGCTTTGAGACTACATGGGATGGAGACACCTCCACCTACTTTAGTGTTTGTTCCTGAACAAACAGGGGCACCAGAACAGTCTGCTCCAGTCTCAGTGTTGGGACCGACCTGACACACACAGGCTCTGCTCTGGCACTTTACAAGACATGGTTATAGGAAATGTATCTTAATCACCTCAGTGTGACGACCAGAAAACACAGAGACGTTTTCTACAACTCGAATACTCCCGTAAGCTTAAAAATCTTCCATCTAATTCTGTCAATTCTCCTCATTCAAATTTTTCTGTGGCTGTACAATTCTGCCTATTTTTATGTTCTCATTAAAACACACACAAATTCTTAAAACAAAATGGGAATAAGTAAGCCAAAAACTCACCTGGGATTTGTTCATTTTCTGCTCTGAGTGGAGGAGGGAAGAGCTGAGGGAAAAGGAAGAAGGAAGTCAGGAGAGATGTGGCCTGCCCTGCAGTTCCTGAACTCACATGTGGATGCAGGGCCATGCAAGGTATTTTTACATCAAGTGTGGCCCTAACATGTGTCAAGTTTAGATATTTTTCACTGAATGACTACAAACACCTGTTTCTTATTATCACCCATCTTAAAGAAAAAATAAACAGATGAGAAGATCTTTTTAATTCACCAAATAATAATCTAAAGGAGGAAATGCCATGGCTTTGTACAGACTGATAATCAAGGGGAGGAAGGGGGAACTCAGGACTTATTGTTTATCTGACACCATTAATCCCTGGAAGTCAGATAATACAAGAAAATTTGAGAAAAGGGATGGGATTTTTTTTTTTAAATTTTTTATTGAGAAAAAGAAAAAAAAGTTTCCGCCTCCTTCCAGCCTCCCATTTCCCTCCCCCTCCTTCCACCCTTCTTCCCCTCCCTTGACTCCTCTCCGCCTCCCTCTCCAGTCCAAGGAGCAGTCAGGGTTCCCCGCCCTGTGGAAACTCCAAGGTCCACCCCCCTCTGTCCATGTCTAGGAAGGTGAACATCCAACCTGGCTAGGCTCCCACAAAGCCAGAACATGAAGTAGGATCAAAACCCCGTGCCATTGTCCTTGGCTTCTCATCAGCCCTCATTGTTCGCCATGTTCAGAGAGTCCGGTTTTATCCCATGCTTTTTCAGTCACAGTCCAGCTGGCCTTGGGATTTTTAAAGCAAGATAAAAATTTCAAAATGTGTCCCAAGTTGCTTCTTGCCAATTCTCTTGATAAGAAGCTTTGAATGACAAGTGACTAATGTACAACCATCTGCAGATGACAAATGCACAACCATCTGCATCACTAAAAACTTACAAGATATTCTTAGATTTTCGGGCTTAACGTAAAAAAAAAAAAAAAAAAAAAAAAAAAAAAAAAAAAAAAAAAAAACAGCTCTAAAACTGAGTAATTCCAGGATCCAGGATCCATCTACACTGTCCGGTGGACATTTATGGCCAGATAAGTATGGCCCTCAACACCTCAACATCTCCTTTCCTGCCACCTTTGGATGAGTCTGTTGGTGTCTAGAAACAGCCCCTCCATAGTTAACAAGGTAGGAGGGGTGCATGGGTTGTTCAGGAAGGAGGGCGACAGCAATTCCGGACCTGTGGCTGGTGAGCCTTTCACCCCCAAGTGGCATTCCCTGTGCAGTCTGGGTGCACCCATCTCTCTTAACTCCAGCTCACCTCTCTCTCCTTAAACTTGTCTCAGACTTTCGGCGGGCACACAGTCTTCCATGGTTTCAGGATATTGTGTCATTACACACAACAAATGAGCGAATATCAAATTCAAAACGGGGATTCCAAGTGTTTGAGGGGCAGAAGGCTAGCTAGGCCGGCTCTTTCCTCTTCCACTCCAAACACTGCGCCCTAGGGACCAGTCCAAAGGCCCGCGGCAAGGGTGGGCTCCCTGTGACCCTCACAGGGTATTTCCTGCACAAGAAGTAGTTGCAGCTTTAAAAAAAAAAAAGAAAAAAGAAAGAAAAAGAAAAAAAGAAAGAAGTATTCGTAATAATCACATTGTGCAGAAAAGGAAACAAGAGTCCCGAGTGGGTTATCCTGTCCCAGTAATTCATTCACTCGGGACCAGAGTGGTCCATCCGCCCCCACATCCCAGCATCTGGCTCCAGGAGCCAGAGGACAAACGCGTCACAGCATCACGCTCACGCCACGCTAACTCCTCACGTTCCCTCCCTACAACCCCGCACCGCCCCCGCCTGCTGCACAAAACGCGCACGCGCAGCACCCGCTAGCGGCCCTAGGTTTGCTCTGCAGAGGTGCAGACCATCTGGACCCCCGCAGCCCGAACCCCGGCGTCCGAATGCACCCCAGACCGGCCCCCCGCGGGTCCCTGTTTGCTGCCGACAGCGGTCCCATGGCCCCGAGCTCCCAGAACCCTCCGCCCTTGCCGCCGCGTAGGGCTCACCCTCCGCTCCGGGCTGTGCGCAGAGCCGAAGGCCAAGAAATGTTCCCAGGAGGGACGCAAGGCCAGGGATCGACCAGGAGCCGAAATGCAGCCTGCGCATGCGCAGGGGAAGGGGCGGTGCGCCCTTCTGTGCTAAGAATGGGGTGCCTATGTCCAGTGTTGGAAGGAGTGTTGCCTGGAGAACTGAGTCAGCTTTTGTCTCTGTTGTAAAATGATGCTATTGACGGCGTCTAGGAACCAGAGTTTTCAGAATTAAAGGCGTTTACAGTATTAACACAAACCTTGCCAGACTCATTTCTCAGGACAGGGCTTTCTGGGACACCATGCCAGCTTCTGTATCTTTATTCCTCCTATCTAGTGCCAACATTCTGTCAGTACCCAGGGCATTGAGAATCAAATCAGAATATTTTTACATTCAAAAAAAAGAAAAGATGTGCTTAAATTTATGTTGGAATGTCAACTGGTGTGGTTAAGGTCTTGGTCGTGTAGAGATTTCGTGGATTAACTCATAAATCCGGGCAGGACAGAAACCTCTGTCAACAGCGTAGCTTCTCTGTTATACCTAGAAGGCACAGTCTCACATCAGACTTCGTGGTCCTCTGGCCCTAGAAAAATCTCTGCCAGGTCTTGGTCTTCTGCAGTGTTCCCTGAGCCTTAGGTGCAAGGGTCGTGTTGTATCAGTTGTTGCAAGGAACTCCACCCTCAGTTGCTCTCTGTGATTTGGTAAGTTGTGACCTTCAGTAATGGTCTCCTGCTACCGTAGAAGAAGGCTCTTTGATAAGGGGGGAGGTCTACACTTACTTGTGGGTATAACGGTAAGTTTTTGGGGTGCAGTTAGGAATTAGACTAATAGGGAAGTGGAGTAGTTCTTCTACAAGGTCCATGCCCTCACCAGTCACATGCTGTTGGCTGGGTTTACAGTGTCAGGCAGAGTTCCTCTCCTGTCATCTCTGGAAGAGTTACAAGCAATTAACAACTGCCGAGAGGGAAAATTCATCTTCCCTGGAAACAAGCCCTCTGTTTATCCAATACCAGTGATCAGCTCAGAAGTATATACCTGTAGGTAACACTGAAGGGTCTCAGTGTTGTGTTTATATGTTTGTTTATAGGTAAAACAATGGTTAAAGAAGAAAACGCTGTGCAGGAAGGGGAGCTAGATAGGGAAGAGGGGGGAAGCAGGGAGGAGAGTATAGTGATATTTTATTTGTGTTTTTAGAAATAAAGCTTGTCTGAAGATCAGAGCGCAGAGCTAAGTCACTAGAGATCAGGTGGCACTCCTGGTGTAGTGGCACAGACCTTTAATCCCAAAACTCAAGGCCACCCTGGACTACGCCAGATCGAATCTGTCTAAAAAGAGAAATAGAACTCACACAAAGGTGTTCCCAGCACTTAGGAGTCACACACCTTCAATTCCAGCACTAGGGAGGTGGAGACAGGAGTGATATGGCTGGGCAGGGAGAGGTATATCAGGCAGGAGGAGACAAGAGCTCTTTGCAGTCTGAGGTTTAGTGGAGGGCATTGCAGTCTGCAGTCACAATGAGGACAGGATCTCCCCTTTGTCTGAGCCTGGATAGAGGGTAAGAGCTCTCTAGTGGCTTGGCTGCTTTGTACTTCTGATCTTCAGCTTGAACCCCAATGCCTGTCTCTGGTTTTTTATTAGTCATGCTACAGGAGAGGGAATGGGGGAATCAGGTAAAATTTTAATTAAATCAAAAAATTAATTTATGCATGTGAAACAAATTTAACTAAAATCCCGGAAAATAATCTAAACTGAAATAACATCTAGTATCCACGTGAGTATTTCTGAAATAAGAAGAGAGACAAGCAACCAATTTGTACCAAATAACACAAAAAGGATAGGCTTCCAATCCCCAGCAAGATCGAGAGTTATGTCGTTTTCTGCTACAGAGCCAGGTCAAAGCCCTCCTGGGCTACAGGAAATTCAAATCTTAAGAAAGACTCCAATGTGGGTCTCTGTCTCAGTCTCCTTTCATTGCCTGATGAAGGTTAATATTCAGGAGGATGCCTATATGTTTTTCTTTGTGTTCACCTTCTTATTTAGCTCCTCTAGGATCACGAATTATAGGCTCAATGTCCTTTATTTATGGCTAGAAACCAAATATGAGTTAGAAAATCCCATGTTCCTCTTTTTGGGTCTGGCTTACCTTACTCAGGATAGGAGCACCGGACTGAAATCTCAAGGTCCAAATCAGGAGCAGAAGGAGAGAGAGCACGAGCAAGGAACTCAGGACCGCGAGGGGTACACCCACACACTGAGAGAATGGGGATGTTCTATCGGGAACTCACCAAGGCCAGCTGGCCCGGATCTGAAAAAGCCTGGGATAAAACCGGACTTGCTGAACATAGCGAACAATGAGGACTATTGAGAACTCAAGAACAATGGCAATGTTTTTTTTTTTTTTTTCGTTTTTTGAGACAGGGTTTCTCTGTGGCTTTGGAGCCTGTCCTGGAACTAGCTCTGTAGGTTTTTGATCCTACTGTGTGTACTGGCCTTTGCGGGAGCCTAGGCAGTTTGGATGCTCACCTTACTAGACCTGGATGGAGGTGGGTGGTCCTTGGACTTCCCACAGGGCAGGGAACCCTGATTGCTCTTTGGGCTGACGAGGGAGGGGGACTTGACCGTGGGAGGGGGAGGGAAATGGAAGGCGGTGGCGGGGAGGAGGCAGAAATCTTTAATAAATAATTAATAAAAAAAAGAAATAAGTAACAGATAATTGTAGATTCCACCTATATTGAACTCATGTTAGCAGATGATGCTTCTGAGGAATATTTAATATAAGAAATAACATGGGAATAATGTTACAAACTAAACTATAGGGTTTACTCAAATTTCCCCTCTTTCTACTGATTTCCTTTTCTTGCTCCAGGAACAAATCCAGAGTACCAGAAGTCCCTAAAGTCGGTCATCAAGTCTTCTTAGTCTCTGCCAGTTTATACTGGTTTCTTGGTCTTGTCTTCCATAGCCTTGAGATGCTTGAGAAGAAATATTTCATTGCTCATTGTTGTGTGCCCAATGTCACTTACATTAGTATGGACTTATGTGTTCGATCAGTTCTCAGTTATTATTCTACCTTGCTCCTTACCCTTCCTCCCTTTAGGCTGGTTTGTTCTATGCACTATCATCCTACCTTTCCCAGAATTCCAAATAAATGCAATCAACTAGCTTCTGAATTTGACTTTTATAATATACCATACTTCATTTTGGATCCATTCATGTTGTTGTTTGGTGTTTTAGGGCAGGGACTTTACCTCTTACACTTTTTATTTCATAATATGATCCAACAATAGTATGTTAATTCTGACCCTCAGTATTCGAATGCTGGACACTGGGAGCTCTTAGATATATAATATAGCCCTATTACTTTTAAGAAACTTTTCTTGACTTTTTGATACCACAAGATGGCACAGACTCAACCTGAATTTTCACTACACATAGGCCTAGAACCAAGCATTTTTCAAAGACCTGTTATTAGAGACTTTGAGATCTTAGCTCTCTAACTGCGCTCAGTGCTCTGAGGCAGAAGTTTACCTAAATGTCTCAGCAGACAGAGGTAAGAAATATGTATTTACGGCTGGAGAGATGGCTCAGAGGTTAAGAGCACAGGCTGCTCTTCCCGAGGTCCTGAGTTCAATTCCCAGCAACCACGTGGTGGCTCACAGCCATCTGTAATGAGATAGGGTGTCCTCTTCTGGCCTGCAGGCATGCAGAACACTGTATACATAATAAATACATAAATCTTAAAAAAATAAAGAAATCTGTGTTTACTAACCCAAGATAGAAATCTGTGTGTGGGTTACAACACAGTATTGGGGAATCGTGAGATATTTAGCAACAACAACAAAAAAAATGTTTATTGATGTGCAGTGAGCAAAGGTTCATTCAAGGTTCCCTGGAAACCCTGCCCATCCTGTGTCAATCAAACCTTATCTGTGCCCTTGGAGGAAGGTTGCAACCACCATAGCCAGCAGAGTAGCAATCCATGGGAGGCAAGAAAGCAGTTCAGTTCAACATGACTAAGTAGCTGGTGTTGGTTGAACCACTGTGGAAATTCCCAGTTAAGGACCCATTCCCTGTCTAGTCTCTCAGTCATACCCTTCTACATGCATTGGCCCCTGGCAGCAACAAGCCTACTCCTGTAGAATTGGTTAGAGGTCTGTTCTCTGGTACCTTCTGTGTGATTAGCATGGTGGCTGACCAGATCTTACCAATATCTTTTTTTTTTTTTGGTATGGCGAGTGCTTCATGGAGAACCATAAATGTAGAATCATCATTACGGGTGGAGTTTATAGAAGATCTGTATCGCCTGGTCCAAAAAGTATTAAAAGAAATGGAGCTTTTGATGGTTGAAAGAATTGCAAAGCATCACCTGGAGTTAGAACTGTTGAGCACTAGAAGAAATAAACTTGACACGTAGGTTAAAAATGCAGGAACCAAGCGGAAGAAACGGATGGATGGGTGTGAGTGGTCCCTGAGAGGAAAGTAACCAGGCAAGATGTCCAGCCATTTGCCTCAAATCCCATAAACCAAATCTTCTTTTTGTTCCTTGTTCTCAAAAAAAAATCACTGGCATGTTTGATGTTTTAGAGATTTTGTTGTATTTGTGAAGACTTGTTGTTGTAAGACAACATGTCTTTCCTTTGTTATACCTCCCACTTGAGCTGTGGTCAGTAAATCTAGGGTCCAATAGCTCTAGACTATAATTATTGCATGCTAATTTTATATTCCTGTATTATCAAAAGTCTGTGAGTTGGTGTAGTTAGTTGTGAGTTCTATAGGTAGTTTCTGGGTAGTAAAAATAGAATTTGTAAGACCCTCCCCTAACTCTTATACCTATGATGAGAGTAAGTCCTGGAACCTAACAATTTACTTTGGATCAGAGAGACATATTAAGGTAGGGGTATTCATGTCTGATCAAATGTGACTTTTGGAAAGTTATAAGCAGAGTAAGTAATTCTGATCAGTTGATTGGGGGGGGGGCAAAGCTAGGCTTGCCACGGTTATATAAGCAAAGTTTGTGTGGTCATTGGGATCCAAGAGGTTAGTAGTGAAGGAAAGAGTGAGCTTTGGAATGGTTCCAACAGTGTACATACAAGATGGAGGTCATGGACACGCTTGTTAGAGGTATAAGGCACTGTGCACAAAAGGAGAGTATAGGCAAGAGCCGGGGTGAGAGATGAGGTTCTGGGGTG